TCTGAAGATTTGAAGTGCTGCTCCACCACGGCCAGACGTGCTTTGAGATCTGCCACTTCGGCCTCACATGCCTTCTTCTCCTCGGACAATGCCGACGTCTCAGTCTGCATTTTTTCCAACTCAACAGCTTGTTCAGAAATCTGGCCCTTCAAGTCGGCCTCCATCTTGGCAGATTCTTCCTTCAACTGGACGATCACCACATCACGAGCAGCTATGATGTCCTTTTTTCCTTCCAATTGCGACGCAACCCGGCGATAATCGTCCTCGGCTGCCACCAAACTAACCAAGGCCCTGCCAACACATGCCTTGGCATAGCTCAGCTTATCAACGCTGGATAAAGAAGAGATCCCTACCTCAGATTTGGGGTCCCAAACCATCAGCGGAACCCGAGCAGCGTGTTGTCAAATGGAAATTAACAACAACCAAATTGGAGTGTATTTGAAGTAAAGCTGAGTGTTCAACGATAAAAGCTTGTATATTATAACTGGAAATGTAATTTCTCTGTAAGGTATTATTCTTGTCCGTGTCCTTGGGGAATTCTCCCTTTTTCTTTTATATTTACGTACAATATTTATCTGTACAATAATCATTACACTTTGAAAGGTCAAAGGCGGTCCTTAGTTGCTTCTCTTGATAGCTTGCCACTTGGATAAATGTAATGATGAGTTATGCTGAGTTGTCGCCGCCTTACCATGCTGAGGTGGCATGTTATAGATATCGGTCCACCCAGTTATAACCGATATGTTGTGACTGACATGTATTAACTGACATGTGTTGACCGACATGTGTTGACCGACATGTGATATCGGTCAACTAGTAAAGATGTCGGTTCTTGCTGAATCTTTCATTGTGTAGTCATCTTGAAGCTGGTGGAAGTGTCACTTGCTTGCATGAACCCTAATTACCATTATACTGATCTTAATCAGCGGATTAACGTCACTTAATCTGGCTTACTGAAAATGATATCAACAAGGTGGCCCCCAGCATTAATGGCCGTCTGGATAGAAGACGGGTAGTGATGCTGAAATTGCAACAGACCTTGACAAAATTCTTGTATTGATGCTGATATAGGATATTATACTGGACCTGGTTTAATGGATAAAGCGGATACATTTTGGAAGATAAGCCCACTAAGACGTCCAAGCCCAACATTATGGGCCAAGCTCATAATGAGCCTACAAAGGTACACTCCCCCTATAAAAGGGGGGCCAAGGTACCTCATTCACACATTATTCTCTCCTCATTACATTACTACACTTTATCTCTCTCTATATCCGAGCACTGACTTAGGCATCGGAGGCCCGACGCCGGGGCCACCCGGCGTTGGGTTCTGCAGGTACGGAGGCCGGTTCGAGTTGAAGGAGCCCGGGTGAATCTTATTCACTTCATTGGCGCCGTCTGTGGGGACCCGAAAAAAAGTCAAGCGGAGTCCAATTGAAAAAATAGGAAAACCACCTTCTTCTCCACCGGTCGCCGCCACCGCCGGCCGCCACCTCCGCCGCCGGCCGCCGGAAAACGTGCTCCGATCGGAACATGGTTGGCATCATCGGATAGATCTCGCCAAGGTGAAGCTACCCTTAAAATTTCTTCCAAAAATTCCTACCGGAGGGCCTTCAATTTCGCGGTCAAAGTTTCCAGATCTAGGAAAATTTGGTCAAAATCGGACGCTCAAACGCATTTTCCCGGTGATCCGTGAGGGCTATGAAAAATCCGAGGGTACCGTCGGAATCCTCTCGACGAGGCGAATTTCCAGTTACCGACCTTCGCCGGAAACCGCCACCTCCGCCGCCGTCTGCCGCCGCCTCCGCCGCCCGCCGCCGCCAAAAGTCGTCCGATCTGAAAAATGCTCACACCATCGTGAAGCTCTCCTCGTGCTCGTTCTACCCTTAAAATTTGGAGCAAAAATTCCTCCCGGAAGGCCGTCAATTTGTCAGTCAAAGTTCGTGGATCTAGATAGGATTTGGTCAAAATACGGTCATCTTCTTCATTTTCTCGTCGATTTCCAGCAAACCACCTTAACCCGACGGCACCACTTAGTTCTCCTCACTGAGGCGCATCCTCGGCCATTAATCCCCATCGAAACCGACGAGGTTTGGCCGACGAAACTTTTTCCGGCGGGTTCCAGCCGTTACTCGCGAGCTGTTGTTGGTCCGCGGAGAAGCCAAGTTGTTGGTCCGCGAGCTGCCTTTCACAGCCCATCAGCCCGATGTGAGAGAGCCCAGATTTTGCTTCCCTTCAGCCCGCATCCGCGCAAGTGTAAAGGCCCAATACGCGGCCCATCGTGAAAGCCCCTAACCCATCTGTCCAGCGCGCGGGCCGCACTCCAGCCCGCGCGGCCCGCATCTGTCACAGGAATCGGCCCGCAACAGCCCGCGTGAAGCCCGACCCTCCAGCCCGCGACTCCGCCTGCTTTCAGCCCGTGGAGGCCCCTTTCGCAGCCCGCGTGAGGCCCAGCGCGCGGCCCACTGCTTCACAGCCCTCCCCAGGCCCAACAAGAGCGGCCCGCGTCCGATCCAGCGCCCCGCCCCGCGAGAAGCCCGTGTCCTGCGGCCCATTTTCCCAGCCCAGATGCCTCCAGCGCGGCCCAGCGCCCTTATGCAGCCCATTTTACCCCTAAACTCCCCCAACTCAAGCCCAAATGGTCCAACAGCCCCAGTTTGACCCCAAGATTAATTCGAGAAAATTAAAAGCGAACGGTAAGATAATTTGGGATATTATTCTCGCAACAGAGGTATGTGATTAGTTTACATTTGGAGACTCGAGGATTTTTGAATTGGTGGAAATGAGATAAATTGCTTGATTTAAATTGAACAATTTGGAAACTTGATGATTCAAATTGGTGAGAATTGGAGATATTTGATTGCTCGACATATTATTTGATTTATTCGTAGGATTGCTTGGTTTGTTCGAGGAAAATCATGTAATTTTGTTTGAGGAAATATTATTCATTTTGTTCGAGGTGATATTTTATGTGATCGAGGACACATTATTTAAACAATTCATGAGGATTATGCAACTTTTCCATGAAAACTATTTGACTTATTGGAGGACAATTGTTTAATTTGCTCGAGATATTATTTGATTTATCTGTGGAGGTATTTGATTTATTCGAGGATGTGCTATTTAATTTATTTTTGGAGGTATTTGATTTATTCGAGGAGGTGCTATTGGATTCATTTGAGGATGATTATTTGAGGAATATATTTCATTTGTGCATGGATGATTATTTGATTTGCTCGAATGATTGTCGGATTTGTTTGTGGATGATTATGTAATTTGCTCGAGCGATTATGCGATTTATTCATGAATATATTTGAATTTCTGTCGAGGAAATGACGAAATAATCCAAGTCTCGACAAGCTGTGGCGGATGAGCTGTTGAGTGTCGAGGATAAAATGAACAAGCATGGATGCATCTAAGGAGGGTGACAAGCAGGGACGAGCCTAGATGATGTCGATCACCGGTGGCGATTTCAAAAGGAACGGGTAAAAATCAGCTTCTTTGAAAAAGGTATGACAATTTGGAGTGGTATTCTCGACCTTCAGGTACAAAACTATTTTCAACTCTTGATTTGGTGGTCGAGTTTGATCGACACACAATTTATGGACGCATTGAGGCTTTCAACATTATTTTTTGGGGAATGTTAATTGTTTAAATACCTTGGGTGAGCTATTGAGGAGATTCTGATGCACATAGGCATGGTTGGATTA